GATTATTTGCTGTTCAGAAATCTCCCTGCGTCTCCATACAATGAGGTTGGTGCACGAATAGCTGTCAGAGAGCTGGCGCTGCTCCATGTTGGGGCTCCCAGCACAGGCCTGTGTTGGCCAGTTGCCTGGGTAACCTGCCTTATATCTGTTTCTTGTAGTGGGTGATTCCTGCTACTACTCAACAGACTGTGAATTCTGAATAATTCAGTCAAATATGAAATCCCAACTGCTTTTTTTTTTTTCTGGCTTTTGATATCTTTGAGACTGAAAGAAATGCCCAAATATTCATATCTTTTTTTCTGCCAGGTCTGTATAAGAAAGAAACTACAGAATCGTAGAGATTCTGTGCTTTGAGACACTTGTTTGGAATTTGAACCATTCTTTCACTAGTTCTTAGGATTAAGTCATAATAAAAGGTTTTAAAAAAGTTTTTATTGTTTATAATTATCTTGTTACAAAACAATTACAACTGTGTGAGAGATTTAATCTCTAGATCAGTAATTTTAAAGCTAAAATATCAAAGCTCCCCTCATTCTCTAAAGTAAAAGGAATTAATATTTGCATATTTTTGAAAATGTTGCACACATCTGAATAAAGAACTGCACATTTAAATATTCTTGGAAATAATCCAGTAGAAGGAATTTAAAGATGTTCCTTTAAGGATATTTCTTTGGCTCTGCTCTTGCAAGTACTTACATGCATCAGTAATTTCATTGTCTTTATTGGAACTAATTTTATTTATTTATTCAAAAAATTATTGTTCCCGCTGCTGCAGTGTGTCAGCTTGGGGCTCTAGTCCCATCCCATTAACGGTTCCTGGGAAATATTCCTGCTCACTGGATAGGGTTATAGACAAGCAGCTGCCCAGTACCTCCTCCTTCCCCCTTGTGACAGAGTGCAAGTGAATTGGCTTTTGATGTTCTCAGTGTTTTCAGGACTCATCCCCAAAATGCCTTTATAAGGCTGTTACCGAGAACAGATGAGTTCTCGTGTTATACATCATGCTGAAAATTGCCAGGTGAACACAAATATCAGTGCTTAAGCTATACGGTCAGAGCACTGTGTGAAAGGGAATGGGATGAAAACCCTTTTCAAAGACTTGCACCAGATCTTTTTGAAGTACTGGTCCCAAGAGGGAAATTACCAACTGCAAAATGATATTAAGAGTGAGTTCAAAGGCTTAGAGACCAAGCAGATGATGAAATTGGGCTCAGCAGACCATTGTCCTGTCTCCGAAAAATTTCTAAATACGCTTGAATATTTATTCATAGGTAATCCAGTTTAGAATGCAGGACAGTGTCTGAACATGGAAAAAGGGGCGTCTCATTTAGCCTGGAGAACAAACTTGGGCTTTGTTGGGCCTTGATCAGTGATCTAACTCTTCTAAAACAGCAGCGTGTATCCTGGGCCAGAGAAATGACCCCAGTACCTTCATTCTGACAATGGCAAATTGCTGGTGCCTGGAGGGCTGTGTAGAATTAAAACTATAGGGAGGTGATATTTTCTAGTATACTGCTTTAGCCACCAGTGACTGGGGCACTTCGGATGCAGATGTCCCATGTGTTTGTGTTTCATAGTCCTTAATGGGTTTTTCCTCCAGGGATCCATCTATCTAATCATTTCTGAACTCATGCAAACAGTGTTTCATGAGAATGACTGTAAATTATCTTTCATGTACCTCAGCTAAACTGGAGATACTCAGATCATATCCCACACTGTCTTGTGCTCCTTACACAATATGCCAGTGTCTCTTAGCTTAAAAATCAGTTACAATCCTTTCATATTGCCCTGTGATATATGCTGATTTGGGTAACAAAAAAGCATTTTAGTGAAAGACTTTCAAGAACCACTAAATTAATATAATGTGGAAAGACACCCTTTCTACTTCTCAGCATCATCATGCAGCAGTCATTTCCCCAGGAAGCCACTGTAACCATGTTCTAATGTTAAAACTTCTGTCCTGTATTTTAGAGTTTGATTTACTCTCGATAGATCTGGATAGTGTTGTTCCTGATAATTTCAGTGAGAAATGGATCACATCAATTACTTAAGAACATCTGGACCTTTGCTAGCCGAGACCTCATGTTGAGCATTCAACAGTACTGTTCCCGTTGCTGTTGTGAATATCTACACTGAATCTCATAAATGGAGTCCTCAAGACTTTATTTTTTCCCTTATATAATCCTAAACATTTTTTTGAGGGTGAGAAGACAGCTAAAAAGAAAGGGAAACAGAGATGAGCTCTTGAAAGAGCATGCTGTGAAAGAGCTGACAACATTGTTGTATTTAGCATAGTTCTGGAGCTTCTTAGTGGTCACCTGTGCTTTTCTAATGTGTTTATATTTTCTAATGTATTTACGTTTCTTTACATTGTAGATTATGTGGTAAATAGGCGTAGAAGACTCTAAGCTGCCCAATAATCAGTCAGGTCAAAAGATTGAAAATGAGAACACGTGAGCCTGCATGCCCCCGTTTGTGCCCGTATTCACAACCCTATGTGTAATGATGAGCTGTTTACCTTCAGAAAAGGCTTTTACCTTCAGAAAAGGCTTTATATATCTGAGCAGCTATGCCTTCATTCAGTCATTCCAGCTGCCGTGGCACTTATCCTGTATATAGCATAGAATACCGAAGCTGCTGTAGTTTACCATACAGAGAGACACATAAGAGGCTTTTATGTCTCTGGCCTATAAAATGTGGCTCTATATAGTTAATATTTAAGCTCCTTATCAATATGCTTCAATGTGTGTAGACTTGAGAGAAGAGCTTTCCACAGCTTGCTGAACCTCGTAAGGCACCAGGCCTCCTGTGTGTGAGGGAGAAATCGTGTATTACTGAGTTGTGATCTGAAGATGGCAGCATTGGGCGAGTTATCGCATTTTCTTAGCGAAGTAGAGCTCTCCTAAAATGCAGATATTATAGTTGCATACGGCAAATTTATCATAAAATCAGTTTTTCATTTGAAGCGCTTTTCTGAAGAACGTTGCTTAACACTGCAAGTTAGCGGTAGGCAGATGTGTGCTTTGCCATCTGGCCATTTTGTATAGATTTTATTTAAATCAGTTATACTGAGAATGCAAGTCTTTACCAGTGCTAAAAATAGTTTCTCACCAGCAAGTATATGCTTATAAATATTATTATAATAGTAGTAATTCCTGCAGAGTTAGTAGAAAGATCTCTCCTTGTCCCCAGTTTATCCAACAAGGTGAACGGCCCACCTCTGGTCAGCAGAGATGGCTCTTGTGCTAGTGCAAGTTCTCTCCCTTCTGCTCTCCTTTCCTGTTTGTGCCCGTCTTCAGAGGAGGGGAGGGCATTTTTCTTGCTTCCCTCCACTGACTTTGTAAATGGTGAAGGGATACTGTCCTGGGAACAGCATGGCATTGGTGGATGCTCCTCAATATGAGGGACATCTCGAGAAGAGGTGTCCTACCTGTTATGGCCACTCTTACGGGTCTTCTGTAATAGGCAAACACCAGACTCCCCACTTTGGTAGTTTGCTTGTTTTGAGAATGAAAATGACTGTGATCACCGAATTTTGTGAGGAGCCCAGTCCTATTGTATGACTATTAATTCCTTTGTGTTCAGAGCGTATCTACACACAGGTTCCTTCTTCTAGGAGTGCTGAGAGGGAAGGGCTAGTTCAAAGTGCCTAGAAGGATTTAGGCATAAAGGTGAGCTAGTGTTTGTTGTCAGTGGGGACTGGGACAGAAACAAGGCCATAGGTGCCTTAAAGTTTTTTTTTCTGGCAAAGTATTTAGGCAGGGAAGCTAAGTTTTTACTCTTCTTAGTGTCTCAGCTTCACTCAAGTCATATGTTTGATTTCTTTCTCTTTCGTGCATCTGTCTAAAGTTCCTGAGATATCTTTTTGGGAAACAGTTCTCTTGGTTTTCTTCTAATTGGTGACATCAGTTGCTTGTACGTCATTATTTGAGATTATTCCAACTTGATTTATGCAACTCGGTAGTAAAGTCAGAGCTAGAACTTCAGTTACTTATTTGACAATCCTGCGCTTTCGCCTCCTCCTGTGGATATCTGTGATTTCACTTCCTGTAGTGGAACCTGACTCAAAACCCGTGAAGTCACTGGATTTCAGCAGGTTTGGATCAGAGCCAAGGTTAATGTTCTCATTATTCTGTGTTACATATTTCTATATAGTGCCACGCTGCATAAGTCAGTGGCCCTACAGAAAGTTTTATACTGGAAAGAAAAAATGCTGTTACATGTTAAAAGAACTGTTAATTTCCATGGAGTTATATCCTGTGGCACAACTACTGAATTTGTCAGATAATCTAATAAATATAAATGTATGCGATATTTTTGTAGAAGTCAGAAATCAGCTTCCTAAGAGCATTATGTGTAGAAATAGTTACCAGCATAATCTGATCTGTTTGATCTAACGAAAACAACCTTGCTGTGTCATAACAAGAGCTGAATAACGTAGGCACAGGAGTGATTGTCGTCTTTGCTTTTGCATTTGAGGACTACTGGAATAACCATCCTCCTCGAGGGCTCCCTAGGTAGATACAGCAAAGTTTGATGCAGGGCTGGTATGCTGGCCTTGCACATGTCAAACTCGAAGCAACATCAACATCTGAGTTCTCTGAACTGAGTCGCAGAGATCCTCAGAGGTTCTAGAGAGGTGGACAAAGACTGTGTAGGATTTTCTTTTCAGGCACATCATCTCTCTCAGAAGGTTTCTAAAACCTGCACCATCTGCATGTTGGACACCTAAATGCCCTCGCTTGTCTGTTCTTCAGTGGCTGTTCTGTACAGTGTGTGGGTGCCAAGCAAAAAGCAGACTTTCGCTTTTTTTTTTTTTTTGTACAAAGCTCTTTTATTGAAGGAAATGGCATGTAAAATACTTGCTGGTAATAATGTCCTTCATCTGAAGTTACTTAAAAATTGTGAAGTTCTGAAACAGGGCAATGAAATGACTACGTCTTTGTTGAAGTGCTTGCTTGCAACTGCAGTGTAGGTAACTATGTATCTGTGTTTTACAGTGCTATTTTTTTACTATTGAATTTGGCCTTTGCAAGCAAGAAGGACAGCTACGTGCTTATGGGGCTGGACTTTTGTCTTCTATTGGAGAACTAAAGGTATGTGGGGTGTTTTTCCCTTTAAGCAGAAAGAAAATATTTTTAATTGGATCAAAATAATAGTTACATGTAAATGCTTTGGTTTTTGGATAACTGTTAAAGTTCTTAAGATAAAATCCTTACTTTTGAAATATGATATTGATCTGAAAACTTTGGAAAATCAGCTGGCACTTGAAGCATGAAATGGATTTGTAAGGACTGAAATACCACAACAGCTCTGAATTACTAAATTTATATCTGTTTGAATTTTAGAAAGTAAGTACAGTGTAAGTCACTTGCCTTTCTTGTGCACGGAGTATTCTTAATACTAGAACTCATAGATTCTGATAAGTGAGGTGCTCTTGATCTCCTGGATTCTGGATACTTTGCTTAGAAGAAACATTTCTTCTCAATACCTGGAATTATTTTTTTGTGGATAATCCAGTGTAATTCAGTGGATTAATTACAGAGCAGCATTTATCAAGACCCTGATTCTGTAAATTAATCATATTTAAAAGTCAGACATGCATCTAAGCTCATGCTAAACTTAATGTTTATGCCTAAATGACAGTACACGGAGCTTTATTCTTAAAATGGCTGAAATACATTGCATCAGTAATTGTAGTGGATCATTCTGTGCCTCTTTTCTGCCTGAAGAATGTAAGGAACTAGCAAAGATATTTCACCACAAGTGCAATATTTTGAGAACTAATGCATCTCTGGCAAGATGGGAAGGAAAGAGAAGGAGATGAAGGAATACTACGCTTGTTCTGGGACTCAAATGAGCTCTTGGTGGCTTTTCATTTAAACATTTGGGTTCAGAAAGCATATATAGAATAGTATTTACAAACAGTTTTGCAATAGATCTGCTGCATATCCGTGTTTAACCAGCTCCACTTGGCACTTTATCAGCATTATCTCAGGCTCCTTTTGTTGTTTGTTTCACCTTTAATTGAGAACATTCAGGCTGATGCTCATTAGTCAAATTGCTATGCTTTTATTACTAAGGTTGCAGAAGGAAATTAACAGAAGTCGTGGAGAAAAGGTCACAGAAAAGGACTTTCACAGATACTGTTTTCTTTGATTACATTACAGTTTTTCTCAGTTGAGTACATGTCTCAGCCACAGAAGCATTTTACTTTAATAACCTGGTGATACTTTGTCCCTCAAGTGGTTAAACACAATGACATGAACATTTCACTTGTTTTCCTCTGTCCCAACAACATTTAATGCCGAGCCCCAAAGTTAAGGTTCTTCAGGGACCCGGACCTTTCTTTTGAACTAACAGTTGAGGTAGTTAAGCAATGACCCTGAAAATGCCTATAATATCATTTACAAAACGTAAAGGCATGAAAGCAAGGAAGCAAATGCTCAAGAATATAATAGATCTTATACCATCCACATCATAAACAAACACATTATTCTTATCAAGTATGCATATTTTCTTCCCACACAGCAATCTTAGCTGTGATTTGAGGTGTGATTTCTTAACTCAGCAATAATCTTGGAGTACAAAAACAAAGGATAATCCTTTGCAAAAACAACAATAAAAATTATATAATGTGCACATTCATGTGCTATACTGATCTGCTTCAAAGGTAAGAACGTATACCATAAATCATTAATATTATATACTTCTATTACACTACATATATATTTCATAGATGTTAAGCCAGAAGGGACTATTAGGTGATCAGGTTTCACCTCTTGTGTATCAGAGACTATTAAATTTCCCCTAGACCTTGTGTATACTGAGCACAAGGGCTTAAGTTAGACTAAAACATCTGAGTTCTTGAGAGATTAAGCACTTGGGTGCTGCAGGCACAGAACAGCACCACAGCACAAGTACGTGTGCTCTCTGTGCAGGAATCGATTAGGTGAAAAAGGCCGCTGGTCTTTGTGGGAGCTCTGTGCTCCAGAGTAGACAAGAAGATAAGGAAACTGCCCTGCCGAAATTACTGAAGTTCCTGCTAGTCTGACCAGGTCGAAGCTCTTTCTAGACCCACAGATCTGGCAGGCAGGCTGCTTGGTGGAAACAAGGTGCATCAGCTGGGTGCCCCTGGGTGCCTCGTAACCCTGGTGCACGGGGTCTCCTGTCTTGTGTCTAGGCATTGCCAGTCTCTCATGTTTTACAGGAGAGCAACCTCTCTTACCTCTGTCCTTATCTCTTAGCACTCATTGCGAAGGAAAATTTCTTCCTTGACCTGCAGGTGTCTGAAAGATAATGCTAATGTAGTTGAGATCCTGATGATATCAATAATGTGATTGTAACAGAGATGCTAATGGAAGCAGCAATTGCTCTGAACATTATGAGAACAATATCAGCTATTTCTGTGATGAATGAGGATGAACAGGAGACTCAGACTGCATGACCATGAAGTCTGACCCTCATATATACCGCCCCTGTAATTCTCATAGGAGAGAGAGGAAAGAAGTCCTTTAAGGAATAAGCACTGCCAGTCTTAAGACAACAGTCATGGTGGGCCCACAGTCTTCTCTGTGAAACCTTTAAAATATTTATTTATCCTTTACACTAGAAAGATAGATCTTGTTTCAATCTCGATTATTTTTCTGCCTTGACTGTACAGAAATTTGATATTACTGTGCTTTTGTCAGCAAGAAGAAAAGCCCTTTCTCCATATGCCCTCCCCTTTCCATATGCCTGCCCTTTCCGACATCACAGTATTCACAGGAAACAAAACAGTGGCCAATTTTACATATAACCCCTAGGAATAATGACTGCTTTTTTTTTTTTTTTTCTCTCAGGGTGGAAGTAGCCAGCAGTAGCTGGGCCTTGCTAGATGGGGGAATGGCTTGTTCAGTCATCGCTCTTTCTACGTTACACTACTTCATTCTGCAAATGTGGCCAACAGCTTTAGCAACAGAGAAATAAAAGCAAGGGAAACAAAGGCAGTAGCCTGCAAAGATTTTCCTTGAAGTGTTTTTTTCCCTGCTCAGTATTTAGAGTTAGAATTTCAGGTACTGAAAGATATGAATCTTGATGTGCGTGCTGTGGAAGCATCCAACGGCAAATGCAGAAAGCCCAACAAAATAAGGAGAAGGAAAAGATTAAAAATTAAGCCTGGAGGAAAGAAATAGGGTAGTAAGTAGTTACAAAATGTTCTCCCTAATATAGTCAGGTTAACTTTAGCTAGCACTATTACATAGTATATATTTGGAGCTTAGAGATAAGGCAGAAATAACGTAGCTTTCAGTTATTTAAACTATTTCTAAAAGGCAGTCCAAAAGTCTTTGGAAACTTTAATCCATTTACTTTATATGATGCACTCTTGAACCCTTCACTATAAAGGAGGCTTCCTGTCACCCTCAGGTGGCTGTAGATCAAATCATATGTCCTTGTTATACGCTTCTATATTTAGCAGAGGCAGACTTCAAAATTTTCTGTATTCCTTTTTAAGTCAAATGCAATATCCAGACACGTCTTGTTTTAATGTTATTTTATATTAAGAATAAGCAAGATTAGCCTATCCCTCTGAATCCACTGCTTTATCTTTTTGGTTATAAAATTACAAATGTTGGTTTTGTTTTCTGAAGAGGTTGAAGATGATGGAGAAAACAAATCCAGCTCATTTTGCTGCTTCTTTTAAGTGGAGAGTCTCTTTCTATTTATCTAAGCAACATATAAAATTACATGGATAACGGAACAAAATTTCTGGTGCATCAGCTGATAAATTTGGAAATGTCCTATGGTACAGATAAGCAGAAAGCCATTTAAGGGCATGTTTTTCAAGATTCAAATTCCTTTACAGAATAGCAAGGCAATAAAATCACTACTGGCATACAGGCAACTTCCTACCTGCCCACTTCTTATTCTGCCCCCTTGTACACCCCAGAGACTTTAGCATTTCTAACTCATCTTTGGTTTTCCCACTGCTAGGTGAAAATTTTGTTTTTTTAAATTTACTTTGTTCTTTATGGTGAAACTGAAGAGCTCTGAGTTGCGTTATTTTGATATGATATTTATCCTCCAAGGAGAAATTACAGGACAAACCTTTTTTCATGTGTCCGTGACAGTTGTCACTTAGGAAATGATTCATAGTCACTCAGTTTAAATATCTGGTGCAATTTGTGATGCCCTGATACATCTGAGCAGCTCTCCAGCTGCATCCCAGGATGGCATAGGCCTCCTTGGTGTACTGTGCTCTATCTTCCACCTCTGTACAGATGCCTCAGACATCTTAGGCACTAGACACCTGTGGTTAGGTACATGAATCACCTCCTGTGCTCTGATCTAGTTGGACTAGAGATGTTTCACTAGTCTTATGCTTATTCACAGTATGGGAATTTGCCTTTTTCTTGAGCTTCCCCACTGCCTAACATGGTTGCTTTTCTTGGGAACCAGTGAAGATCAGTTTGGAAGTTTCATGCCAAACTCTGGTTTCTTGAACTCTCTTAGCATAAGTGTCCTTGAGTAAAGCTTATTATCTGAAGTCCACAAGGTGGTGAGATGCTCTGTTTGAGAGCTGTGATCTGCATGAGCATTAGCCTTAACATCTCGTGAAGCTGGGTAGGTCAAGTTTAGGTGGGAGAAATCCATGTGTAGGTGTTTACACCTGTTCAGCGAACATACATATCTAAAGAAAACACAAATTAATTGCATTCATTAAAAAATACCAATCTAAGTTTAACAGCTTTTGGACTTTTATTTGGAATGCTTTGCTTTAACAACCACCCTACAGTGCTAACATTTCGTAGCACTCTCATGTTTCTGAAAAACTCTCGTTATGCTTTGAGTCACTGTCCTGACTGTCCTAGTGCATGCATGAGTGTCCATGGTGTCTCTGAGCGTTTGACCAGAGCCTCGAGGCTGAGCTCTGGCATTGCCAAGTAGTGCACAGATGCCAGGCCGCAGAATTTCAAACCTGCATCTTGCAAAGATGCTTAGCTTTGCAGTGGTTACCATTGTAATGCCTCATTGATCTAAGTCCCAAAGCCATATCCAGGAAGGGATACAGGCCTCTCAGATGGGAGTTCAGCAGAATTTAGACACTGCATTCCCCAACTGTGATGCAAAGAGTAGCTGCTTGGGTGCCACCTAACTCTCAAGGCCTGCTTGCTCCTGCCTGACATCTGCACGTCCCTTTCTTGGCAGAGATGCTCTGAGGCAGCACCTCTGCTCAGGTGTGAACTAACCTGGAAAGCTGAGAGAAATAATCAGAAGCACCTTCTCAGAGCATGCCCAGGATAACATAACACTTATTTTTTTGCTACCCTTAAACTCTCCCCTTTTATGAATGGGCTCTCAGGGTTTACAGCATTTGTTCAGGATACAGGAGCCACAGATTAAATCCTCTTCTCAGCTCTCTAGCCTTTAGTCCCTTCCTTTTGTCCAAGGAGTGGGCCTGATCCAGCAGAGGTCATTTTTGAGTGGAAGAGAAGAGGAGAACAACCTCACCCTTGCTTTTGAATTTTTCACGATGCAGAAGAAGGATTCATGAGCCATACTTAGTAAGATACTGATTCAGTTCCCTGAATCCATTTGGAGTTTCAGAACTTGGTGCTTTAGACACTTGAGGCGTCAGGCCCCACCTGAAAGTACAAAGTCACCTTAAAAGCAGATGTTGTTATCCATGGTTAACCTCCCAGGAAACCTATTATAATTCCCAGTCAAGGAAAACAAATTCTGTTCAATGGAAGGAGGTAAATGCCTAAATTTACAGGCACTCAAGCATATCAGGGGTCGGCAAGGAGATGGTGGCAACAAAGATAGAGACAGGGGCCAAATAAAGTGGGCCTGTTCTGCAGTCCATTTACAAGAGGATGGTGGTGAAGACAGGCTGTATTTTTTGAATGTTTTGCTTTTAAGCCTGTTTAACTGATGGCTGTCTAGAAACAGCAAACTTAGTGAAAAGGAACAGTTACATGTGCTGAAGGAAGTTAATTCTCCATCATTTTAAATTTCCATGTATTGATTTTTCATTTATTTGTTTTTGAAGAGGGACAAAGTGGGAAGAAGAGACTTTGATCCAATTTTATGTCTTGTTACTTGGAGGCTGCAGGTTGAGAGCTAGCAGGTTTCACATGGATTTGGTTTTGAACAACTCGAATAAAAGATGTGGCAAGTGCCTTGAGGTGCTGCTCTGCTCCAAAGGATGTCCAGGCAAAAAGAAAAAAAAGAGAAGAAAAAAAGAAACAGGCACCTTCATATCCCAGGGATCTGCTCCTTCCATGACATTTCTCTATGCTTTTTACCCACATCTTCGGTATGGATAGATATTAGGGGATGAAAGGATGTGGGCTTAAATAAGCTCTCTTTCCTTGTTTGCACTTCTGCCAGGGTACTGAGAATGAAAATGCTTGTACTCTAAAGGTTAAGGTAGATCCAAAAAAGTAATACAGGTAATACAAGACTCTGAGTGGAAAGGGGAAGCTAGAAGAAGATTTTCTTGTAAAATGTCTTAGTACTTACTTTTCAGCTTTGAGATGTGTCCTTTTTAGTGGCTTATGCCAGTCACATAAAGAGTAAGGCTAATCCAAAATCTCTTCTTTGCGTGGCGATACTTAATTCTTTATCTGCCTAACATCTGCTCTGTACATATCTGTGCCTGTTAGTTCTTTTTTTCCTTCCTGCATTATGCGGCACATCTATGTTCAGGTGTGTGTGGTAGAAGGGTGACGCGTTTTGTCAGCACACAGTCCGTAGGCATCACTTCATGGATTTTCACTCTTAAGAGCTTCACTCTTAAACATAGTGTCAGGAAAATAGCATTTGAATTTGACCTGAAACTGTGATGCAAGATTTTGTGAATGGTTTGATCATGCTCAGTTCCTCTACCAAGCTGATTATCAAGTCTGCCAGTTAAATGATATTTTGGTGATGTAAATATTTGTAGTTGTGTAGATCATTTTTCAGGAATGGTTATTTTATGACTTTTATTTTCAGATTAATATTTAGATCTAGGGACCTACATGGCAGGAACCTTTCTAATTTGCTCTTGATTTTTTAAAAATACTTATTTGGAGGAAAAATGACAGTGGCTGAAAAAAGATATCTTAGTTAACAAGTGACTTGTTGTATTCACACTGAATGATCACTGTGTGTTAAACAAATGAGGGTACCAACTAATGGCAAACATACAGCACAGTGAAATAAAATCTGTATATAACTGCACAGAGAGTAGAACATATCAAAATACGGTTTAAACCGTATTTTAGCTATATTTAGTTGTATCAAAGTACAGTTTAAAAGGTGTCACAATGTATTTTGCAGCATGCTCTCTCAGACAAAGCCAACGT